TAACTACAGTTTTGTACTTAATAATGTATTTAGTTTACATCAGCACCATCAATGGAGGCAACTTCGCTCTGAAACTTTTTATTATATAGACTCCAGTAATAAGATATTTTTATGCCATTAATTTAGCCAAAACGTTACTTGAATCAAATTTCTTACATTTCTGATAATTTTTTATTCTTATTAAAAATTCCGATCAGAGTGGGCAAAACCAATTATATTTTTGTATAAACAATCGAAGAAAGATTAAAATATCATTTTAGTGAAAAATAAAATTGTAACAAATGTTGTTTAATACAGTGAGTGCTGGATCTCTGGAGGATATGGCATTGTAAAAGACATCACATCATACACGTTGCAATCAATCTATAAATTTTTAAATTCCATAAAATTGTAATTGGATTTTTTTTATCGAAATAGGAAAAAATGCGATTTTTAAATATTGAACTACTGTTATAAACTTTTAATCTCACACAATATAAAATTTCTAACTTAATCCTTTTTTAATAAATAATCTTTCAAAACAAATTTTTATCCTAATCTGAACATGCGTGCCTCACTTTTTTTGTTGTTACAAAGAGTTAACCGCTGATTTGTCTCACAGCCGAAGCGTAATTTATCACTCACGGCTATATTGGATAACAGTTACTTGCTTACATTAAATTTAATAAGACGGTCAGTAACTATAGTTACTAAGTAATGGTTACAGACGCCATAATTATGTTAACTAAACTCTCATTAGTATAGAATATACGAAATGTTAAGTTTTGAGCTGCTGTGGCTCAGAGGATAGAGCGCTCGTCTCCCCATGAGAGGACCTAAGTTCAAATCCCAACAGTAGCTGGTTGGTACGAATTTCGCTTCCGAATCACGCCGATTGCTGTGCTAAAGTAAAATATCCTCAGTGGTAGATGGAACATGGGGTAGAATCTCCTTGCCTTCAGGTTGACCGTGGAAGGTTTTCATGATTTCTCTCTCCATACAACGCAAATGCAGGTTTGTTATATCAAAAAGTCCTCCTCGAAGACTAGTTTGTTCCAATGCGTGATCCTGCAGTTTTCTGGTTCGGGTTACAAATTTACAAGGCTACGGAGTTTATTGATAGTTGTTAACTCAGAATTGGATCAGCTATTCAACGCCGGTTATGAAATAAAGTAAAAAGTCGGATTTTCTTAAAAAAAGTTTTCGATTTTATGTTTGTCAAAAACTTTCAGTATTTCATTTTGTATTGCATTATTTTTGCAAGGGCAACACACTGCAATAGTTTTGTCAATCTTTTTATGTAGTCATTGAATTGCATTATAAATTATCAATTAATTTTTGCATATTTTTAAGAATTAATTAGTTTAATTACTATTTATACTGAAATTGAAATGATTGGAAATCAATAGTTTTCAATTCGTATTCAATCAAATAGAGATAGATCAGATAAATCAGAATAATAGTATTTCATTGTGACAGAAAATTTCGTTATTCTATCACAATGAAATACTATTGATAGTTCTGAATAAACTTTACATTGAGTCCTTCAAATGTTTATTTTTTAATCTTTACTTTTTATCTAATATTATCCATAATATTATAATAAATTAAGTAAATTATATTATAATAAATTAGGTAAATTATATTATAATAAATATGTATTATTATAATTATAATATTATAATTATATACATATATTACAGTTATAATATTATAATAAATTAATAAATAAATTAGAAGAAAAAAGTATAATCAACTAAGCAAATGGTGTAAAATGATCAGGAAGTAATAAATGTACTGAAATTAAATATTTGAATAAAATCGTAGTTAATTTAGCTGTATTTTGCTTTGATTATAAGTATGATACGGTATTCAATAATGCCTACAAGTTGTATCGACATGAAAATGTATAATATTTGTAGATGTTTCTTTTTATTGAATATGCATCAAAATAATGTTTGTAGTTCAATATTGTATCTCTCGTTCAAAATCAATCGGGTAACTCCACGACAGAGGAACCGTTTGAAATTTTTAAACATTTTATTATATTTATGCCTTCACATTTAGTACTAAGAAATTTTTGGAATACTTGCATGCCTGTAAAATATTAAAAAAAAAATGCTTTAATTGTTAATTAATTATTTTATGTTAATTAGTTATTTTGTAAATTAATTATTTCATTAAGTATTATTTTTTAATTAACTATTGTTTGCAAATTATTTATTTCGATAATTATATTATTGTTAATTAATAATTAGTTATTATTCAATTATAATTAATTTTGAAATATATTATATTAATTACATTAATTAAATATTAATCAAATGTTAAAAATTGCGAATAAAAATAGTTAAATGGTCCATTAAATATGAAAACCAGAATAAAATTTGATAAGTGTAGTTTGATAGAGCTGAAAATCAGTTCTTACTATATTTTTCTTATAAAATCAAATAGATTAAGAGGATTTCAATAAGCAAAAAAATAATGCTAGTTTTTAAAGGCAGGAGTGTTAGGTACCATTCTGTATAAAAAGGTATGGTTAAGACTACTAGTATATAGTAAATTTACCGAATTTCCTGGTTCAAACTGGACACTGAAAAGTATGGTTTATTTCAGCGGTCACAATAAGTGTTCCGTGGAAACCTAGGGTACCGTGGAAAATTTACAAGTGTTCCGTCAGTTAGGGCTTTTTATCTTAATCGATAATTATTTTTGAAACCTTTAGTAGACGCAATTATTTAGTAAATTTTTCGGTTATTTTTATGAAATTTAAAAAAAAAAATGACGTACTATAAAAAAGAATTTCCATAAGTATTTCTTATCGAACTTTAAAATTAAAAATATAATTACCAAATTCAAATATAAATTATTATCTTCATCTATTAACCATACTAACAGTTCAAAAAAATCTTTTTTAACCACAATTCAGCTTTTTTTTATTCAATTTAATTTATGTGTAAGCCAAAAGCTGCTAGACGAAAAGCCATTTTAGACCTATGAATTCAACTGCATAATAAAAACTTGTTTTAAGATTGCAATTGATAAAACAATTTTATCTTATCATATAACCGTCGTTGAACAGCTGATGTTCAGCTCCGTAACCTTGAAACATTGAACACAACCTAGAAGATAAGGGAACTCCTGGATCAAGTATTGGAAGAAGCTTCCGCATTTTCGTTACATGTGGAAGAAGACCACGAGAACCGCCCATGATTAGCCCGACGGCAAGGGGACTCAAACCCATGATCTGTCTACCAATGATGATATTTTACTTCAGCACTGTGGTCGGTGGGAGTCGAGTGCGGAATTTCGTATCGATCAGCCATCGCTGGGATTCGAGACGAGTGCTCTATCCCCTGCTTTGGTAATGCTTTTTTGGAAAAAGATCAACATGCTGTTGAATCGATTAAAAAAAAATACAGAGCTGGTTAGTAACTTACTCCGCTGGATTACAGCCCTCTATTTCTTCGATATGAGATTTGAATGTTTCTCCGTTATGCAAATTGGTCACATAACTGATGGCAATCATTTTATTTCTGCTATATGCAGCATAAGTAGTTTTATTGTCGGCCACGGGTTAAAAATGCGTATTTATGTATTTACTGCTGCAATGATACGTCTTTTTGTTAATGATACGTCAAATCTATTTAGGAATCCAATTATTTCATTCAGAAATGCTACAGGGTATTGCATATACTACAGGGTTCATCAAAAATAAGGAAAAAAAACTGGGATAAATTTATTGCATCATAGAATAAGAGTTAATAATTAATTTCCTTTTAATTTGTGTTCATGACTTTTGGTCTACTATTTTAATTATGAAACAATTTGCAATATATCTCTTAGTTTGCATATTTTTTTGGCTTTTTTACAACAGTTAATTTAGAGTTGCTTACGCAAGGAAAATGACATATCGTTTGTTTACTCTGTACACTAAAGTTGGGACTCTCTAAACAATTGCTTTGACCGGTATGAAATAGATTAAAAGTCTTGTAACCCATTGCTTTCAGAAAGCGTTTGCTACTTCAAACTTTGAATCATTGCTTTCCATCTTCTACATTGCTGCAGAGGGCTTCCACTTTGAAACCAATAAAATATATTAGTAAAAGCTTATTATTATTATTTATTAAATTTTATTAATTTATTTACTTTTATTAAAGCTATACGAAAATTGTTTGTCTGTTTTTTTTTTGTCTCACCTTGTTAAAAGGAATTTGTTAATAAAGTTATTCTTTGTGTTTCATTCGTTTTCATTCGAAACAGTCAACGATATAATGATTAGGTGTGTTTTTAAGAAATCAGATTGGGATGATGATCACCGAGATAATTTTCAAAATACTGTTCAAAATTATATATTCATTTGAAATGGACAAATGTGGCAAATGTGCTAGCAAAGAATTTATAAATGGCACGCATAATCTGTGTATAATCACAGATATACAGTTTTATTAACGTAAATAAAAATATTCACTTTTTAAAAGAAAAAGAAAATGCATGAAATGTAAAATACTTACCATACGTATTAATTAGAAATGAAATTGAATATTATAAATTCAATTAGGAATGCACAGTTTTATCTTAAAATAATGTTATTTTAATCTCTTAAAAATTATAAAATACTAAAAATAAAAGTAATTATTAGTGAGTATTAGATTGTTGCAGAAAAATTTATATAAATTTTTCGTTAGCCGTACAAAACCTGAAAGGCATTCTGAAATCTTCGATTAAAATATAAAAGTAGAACTGGTATATAATATGTTGCTTAAGCAAAAATCTAAAAACAATAAATGTTATGCCTAAATTTAAAAGTTATAAACTATATTAAAATATAGTATAAAGCTGGAAAATTCAAGCACCGTTTATATTATTTGGAATTGATCAAAATATTAAACATTTTATTTTGAATAATTGCTATGATGCCGATAAAAAATGTAAATTTTCGAACGAAAGCTTCGAAAGTAGTTTTTATATAAAATTACAAAATAAAAAATTCTTAATAATAATAATGCATGAAAACTTACTCCCAATAGACTTCACTCGACAGCTTCGATCCAACGTGAGTAATATTACTCTGAAATATAAATAACAATTTGAGCCACAGATGCTCATCTTGTAAAAAACATTGTTGTACAGTGACAAGTATGATAAAATATGTTGCAACTTTTGCATTCAGAAATAAATTACTGGTGCTAATGCACAAAAGGCTAGAAACAAATTTTTACACACTCTGTTTTATTATCTCGAAAAGTATAAAATGCTTTCTTTCTAGATGTATAGTTAACAGCTTGTATTCTCAAAGTAATACGAATACTATGAAAATAGTTAGCGTTATTTTCAAATGGTAAAAATGGAGAGTCAGAGTTATTTTTATAACAGCAGAGTTTTTAATGTTTGCTTTAGAACATATAGTATTTCTTCCATAGAAGAATAATGTTGCTCTTTAATAGGTGTTTATATTGGTCCCAGATTCAAGTTTCGTTCTTTTTGAGGTTATAATATTAAAATTTTTTGATTACGAACTTGAATTTTTTACCTCAATATTAGGAGACATTTTACATTACATTTTAAGACAAACTAATATTAAATTACAAAATCAAGAGAACATAGCAAAGTAAACAACACATTCTGCTACACTGTAAAAAATTCCGGATCAAATTTCAGTATAAGGTACCGGCACTTTAGGTGCATCATCCGTAAAATCCATTTTACCGTAAAATATTATACAGCATTATTTATTTGATTGAAATGATTCTGTGATTTTACGGTATTTTTTACTAGTAGTAAAATTATGGTATATCAGATTTTATTTTTGTTTTGTTTTGTAACATGCTCCGGTAAAAATGCATCTTATGGAGGAAAGTACCGGAACCCTGAGTGCCGTAACTCAGGCTTACGGTAAAAGAAAACCTTTACCGTGAACCTGACTTGAAAATTTTACCGTTCCGGAAAATTGAAAATTTTACCGTTACTTTTTTATTGTTATTTGATCCGGAATTCTTTACAGTGTAGCCATAAGAGAAATAGTAACACCAACTAGTGTAGAGTTACTTTGGGTTTCAGATTAACTTAGCATTTCTCTACCATTGGGGCTAAAAGTAGTTACTAATTATAGTTACTAACCATTGGGTGGCTAAAAGCAGTTACTAATTAAAATTTGGGAGACTTATGAAAATAAAAATTCATGACTTTTGGTTGTAATGTTCGTAAGATTGTTGCAGATAAAGGTTGCTGTTAAGCACGTAATTTGAGTTCTGTGGCAACTGTGATTCGTGAAGCTGATATCTGTAGTTGGCAAGTTTTTCATCTCTTTTCTATTTGCTTTACATATAATAATCACATGAGTTGTGTGATTGTGTTATTTTTATATCACAATTTTTTACCAATTTTTAACTGGGCATTATGATCACATGATTCATAAAAAAATTTAGGTTACTTTTCCCACATCTCACTATTTGTCACTATTTTTCTGTTGTGTATTTGTCCCTTTTATCCATTTGTCACTATTTTTCAGATAGATTTGCCAGATTGTGACTAGTATGCGAAGCAGACATGAGCAGTGAGTGAGATATTGAACATTAAAATTGATCAAACTTGATTAAATTTAACTAACTGATTAATTTTGCAATTGTACAAGAAGCTTATTGAGAAGAACTAAATTTGTTTCCAAAGCAGAGTGCTGCTAATCGTATACATATGTATCTCTATCTGGGTTTTTTTAATTAAGATTTTTAAAATTATCGATTCTTCTTGGAGTACTCGGTACTTCAATTCTTATGCTTAGGTTTTAAAATAAATTTAAATTTGAAAGGAGTTAAAATTATGAATTAAATTTTTATGGTTGGTGATAAATATTATTGATGAAAGTATTTTTTTATTTAAAAATAAAAATTAATTCATATTTAATATGTATTTGTTTTAACATAATATTCATTATGTTTTACTTTCTATAATTTCAAATAAAATAAGTAATGAAGCTCCAGCAAAGTTACAAATTTATTCTGCAAAAAGCTATAATTCATGCAAAAAAAGTATGCATGTTTTAGATAGTAGTCAAGTACCTTTTCTCATTTGCAGTTAAGTCCCATATCCCATGTTAAAAATACAATTTTAAAATAATGTCGATGGTTTTTCTAATTCCGAAGCAGGACGAGGTATAAAAAAATATATACTTAAGGGTATTTAAAAGGAATTATTTTAAACAGAAATTTATACTAGTTTATTATTGTTTCTTTATGGTTTTATTTCAGTTTTTCAGTGTGATTTAGCACACATAAAAAAGAAAATGGTTAATTTCGATAAGATTTCAATTATTTTTTAAAGAATTTTTTTTTTCTTGAATATTTAAACAATATGAATTTTTGTACATACAGCCACATCAACAGACAAAACATCATTAGCACCAATGAAATCAACATATTACTGTTTAAAGTTAGAGATAAAGTTGTAATTTCAGCAATAAATAAATAAAAAACTTAATAAGTGTGAAAAAAAGTTTAAAAATTTTAAGGTTACTTTTTTGAACAAAAGAAATGTAAAAGGTAGTCATTGAAATGTTAAGACATTTTCTTTGTTTGAAAATTGTTTTTTTCCCCTACTTTTTCTGGTACGTAATGAAGCGAATTCAATTTTCTTACAGTAGAGTGGTAAGCAAAAATTCACTATTTAACATCGAATTTCAAATTTTTTTAGAAATAAGAAATAAAAAGGAAATTAAATTCATTATGCTATTGAATAAGCAATTAAAACTTATGCGTATTTCACACACAGTGAAAGAAACTAGAAAAATCATAAATAATTAATTTTGTCTAAGATTTTATTTCGACACTTTGAATGCCTTTCTATTAATTATCTATTATGCTATTTGCTTAGCTGTAATTCAAAAATATGTAGTTGTTTATTTTTCATGAAAACATTTACCAAAAAAAAATTACTAATGCCATAACTCCGGAAAATAATTTAGTTTTTCCACTATTTTTTATTAATATCAAAACAAATACATTGGTATATTTAAAAAAAAACGATGATTAAAAGAATAATAAAAGCAAAATCGTAATAATTTACATAAAATTATAACCAATAATGAAATTAAAATGTAATTGATCACAAATTTTACTTTGTAATAAAAGTCTTGTCTGTTCTCTAATCTTTTAAAAAATATCAAAATTCTGGAATTAGTCAAAAATTAAGTTTCTTGAAGAATTTTAATTAACATTTTTGAGTCCCTTTTTTAGTAATTAAACTATTTGTAACTCATTATTAATCAATAGACAGTCATAATCAGAGAAAAGTAATTCGTTGATAGCTATGAAGTAGCATATTTTAAGAAAAATAAAAGAAAGTTTCCGAAATAAATACATAAATTAGAATTGTGTTAAAAATAGATGCTTCTTTTGAATCTCATTGAAAGAAAAAAAAAGGACATTTAAATCTCATTCAAAGAAAAAAAATCCGAAGTAATTCATTTTCAAATTTTAATTTTAACTCATTAAAAAATGTTGTAATTGAATTTAAAGAATAAATTACGCAGATTAAAATTCAATGATTAATTTAATTTATTCACAAAGTACAAATATTTTTACTGCTGTTTTAAATTCAAAACTTTCTATTATTGCTTACAATAAAAAACAAACATGTAAAGCTATAAATTTCGTTATACTTCTTTCACAGACTTCGAATAAGTATTTTAAGCTGAAGATAAATAAATGTATATTATTCCTGAGAAGCGAGATATGAATATCATGTCGTAGGCGCGAGACTTGAATATTCGAATGTGTTGTTCAAACAATTTTTAAAATATATATCTTTTTTAAGAAATGATATAAAGAAGCTTATGCTTGTTTGAAATGAAGCTGAAAAATTGAAAAATTCTTTTCAAAAGAATTTAATACAGTTTATTCTATCGATGCAGAATTATTGTGAGTTTCATATTTATTCGCTTATTGTATTTCGAATAGTGTTCATAAAAAATTAATATAATTTTATAAATTATTAAAATTTATAGACACATTTTCACTTCTTATGTATTTAAATGCCGTTAATATTAAATCTCGATCTTTGATCTGTGCATTTATTGAAAAATAAAGTAGTTATATTGGTATCATATCAGATCAGTTTAGTTCCATTCAAGATTTTGAAACCCAGTGAAAATATCTTTTGGTGGGAAAATTGTCCTATTTCAATCGATGAGGCTCAAAAGCATTTGACTCTTAACATTAAAGAAGTTCCATTTAAGGAAATTAACCTAAAAATCAAAGTAGGAAATACCGGGTAATGTCCTTTAATTTTAAAAAAAAGAAACAATATAAGGAGAACCTGGAAAATGTAAACTGGGAAAAGACTCATTACCTTAAAAAGATCAACAATACCGAGTAATGGCCTACACATTTACCCCGGTTTATTAAGCCGGATATTAATGATAACCACGTCTTCTTATAACATGTATTCCATGCAAGGATGATTATCATAATCTATCATGAAAAAACGGAACAAAGTTCAATAAAAGATAAGAAAAAAACTTATTCCAACTATTAAAAAAATGAAAGAATGTAATGTAAAATGTTATAATATATTATATTTGGACTTTAAATTTGATTTCGAAATTTATTTTGAAAACAAACTAGAACCCGAAATATCAAATAACTGCCTCTAATAGGAATACTAAAGGTGCCTTTTCCCTCACCGCCTGAAATGAAACAATGTTTGTTTACCTATTTATTAATGTATTTATGTATGTGTTTTTTTACACACAACAATATTAAAGTTTCACTAAACAGAACAATATAGATATAAGGTTAAAGTTTGCTGTCAAAATAGAACTCGAAGCCATAGAATAGTTGAAATTCTAACCTAAAGTTTCGTTGGTTGTTTCAATATACCAAGAAAAAGATAACATAAATATTTTGTTTCATTTGCCTATGGTTTAAATGCAGTTTTCAGTTTAAAAATATTTTTTGTCTCTATTATTAATTAGAAAATAATATTTTACATTTAATTGGTTTCAATAGGAAAAAAAGTAAATTTAAAGTAAAAAAAACAGTGCAGGTTTCGAATCTTTCTGAGATATTGAATAAAGAATATAAGAATTTTAGATACTGTAAAATGTTAATTTTAAGAAAAAATAAGTTAAAAACAGTTATTTACTTGTCTACTGTTTTATTACTGTTATTCATTTGTCTACAATCTCTCGAAAAAGAAAAAGCTACTTACCAACTCATTCCTTGTCAAACAGTGAGTGACATTGTCTGGATAAACAGGACACGAAGCCCATGGCACCGTTGCCTGAAATGTGGATGCCATGTAAAATACTGTATATGACACGATGACATTGTAATATGAACAGATGATTATGGAAATTGTGACCATTGCGTAACCAATACCTATTGTAAAATAGGGGAAAAACTTATATTAGAGGTATTCAGATAGTTTTGTTGAAATTTAACATAAAATAATAGTTTTTTTTTCTCTCATTTCAATAGCATCTTCTAGTTACAGTCCACTTGGATCAGTTACGAACCGAGGGTGTGCGGTATTGGTCCTCGTTAAACTGTGCTACCGTAAAGTGCTCGCCTTCGCCCGCAGGTCGTCGGGCTACCGAAGAGGGGGTGCTATCCCCTCCGCAGAGGATCAAAATTGTGATGGCATGTCTTCGGATCATCCTCCGGGATGTTTCCCAGACTGTCGCCAATAGCCCATTGTGCAGCTCCAGTGTGACGTAAATTAACAAAAAGAAGAGGGAAAAAAAAGTTACAGCCTGAAACAATAATTTGTGATAACAATAAAAATCAAAATTTTATATTAAGTAGAATACCTACAGATTTGTTAAGTTTTATGGCAATGGTTGAAATAGCTGATTTGAATAAAATATGGTTATATTAACGTGCTGTTTCGTAGTGAATGTGGTCGATAATTATAGCTAGAAAATCATTAATTTTAACAGCATTAGTATAATTTGAGATGACACAAAAATGTCCAGTTTAACATTTTTGTGTCATCAATATAACAAACAGATAACCTCTGTTTTATTTTGTAAACACTTCTTAACTTTGTATTTTATTGGTTAGTTGTTTTTTATTTCTATGTAAGTTATAGGCTAACATCTACCAGCTTTTAAAATTATAAAAAAACGAATATTTGTGAATATACAAATCTCTGAACTAGGTTAAACTACATCAGTAGTTTAACTGTAACTCAGTAATCGTAGTAGTATTTTTTTTATGTAGCACTGCGCAATGAGTTATAGGCGACGATCTGAACAACATCCCTGAGGATTACCCAAAGGCATGCCATCACAATTTGATTTTTTGCAGAGAGGATGGCTCCCCCGCTTTGATGACTCGACGACTTGCGTACGAGTCGAGTACTTTATGGTTGAACAATTTAACGAGAACCAATAACGCTCACCCTCGATCTCCTTACAGATTTCAAAGGTGAGTGATGCTTGACATTGGTGTTCGGCTGGGCCTTAACTGTGTCCTTAACTGTTACGCATCAGGGTTGGCCTTTAAATAGAAGCGTAGAAGCAGCGGATCTGAATCCCACCGCAACCATTAAAATGTCTATTTATATTGCCTATTTATTATTATTTACTTATTGTTACTCGTAAATATGCTCTGGAAAAACATTCTTGTTTTTCTACTAAACTCTATGGAATCCAGCTGTAAATCTGGATGAGTAAAAATAAGTAAATTAATTTGGTATAGATACATATGCCGGATCATGTGCTTAATATGAAGAATGACTTGTCTCTTGTCAAATTGGTGAACATATAGTCCAGAAATGTTAAAAAAAAAAGCAGAGCAATATTGAACCCATTACCGTTACGTTTCAAAGCGTTTAGTGGAAGAAAAATACCCTTTGACATCAAAGGCTTCAGTAATGTAGAGTTTTTTTTTCTTGCAAAAAATACCTTTGTGTTGTATCGCTGCTCTGCTAACTATTCTAAGGCATGGATGTAATGGGATCGATTTCACTATAACACTAGATGTCTTTCTCAAACTTGTGCTATCTTTTTAACTGAAAAGAATTCTTAAGCTATTCTTTGAATCGACAAAGAAATCCACGTATGTAAACGAATAAAAAAGTTCCACTATCCCCATAAAATGTTCATGCAACAGTCGCTATGGATTGATTTCTGTTGCACCAGATTTCTTAACAGATCTTGAATATTCTAACAGTTATGATTTCAACTCTATAATCGTTTTGCAGTTTTTTAAAAAAAAAATATTTTTTGTCGAAATGTACAAATATAAATCGTTATATACAACAGGGGGCGAGTAAATATTGCAAGAAACTTCTAAGGGAGTTAGTGCATATCATCAGGATTAAAATCAGGATTATCTCTCTCTTTATATGTATATATATATCTCTCT